CTTCCCCCCTTTTAGGGGAGGCGGTGGCGTTTGCACCGTGTGACTTTTTTTTTTGTAAATCAAGGGTTCATTCATTGCGAATCTCTTTCATCACTTTTACAAATCCACCCCCCCACACACACACACAGACACTTCCTGTCTCCAGTGGCCCTTCTTTGAAAGTGTCTTCCTCTCTCCTTCCGTTGCTCTGGGGAGCCTCGACGCGGAATTTTTTGTATCTCCTTTGCAAGCGGTAGTCATTTTGGGAAGCCGATTCCTTTTCGCCGGCGCAAAGCTTTTAACTTCGTGCTCGGAGTTTCAATACACTTACCGGAAAGATGGTGAGGTGAGGAGTGTGTGCGTGCGTGTATGGGTGTGTTTGACCTGCGGGTGAACATCCCACCCTGACCGGCCAGGCAGTAAAATACAAGAGCAGTGATTAGATTCAGCCCTGCTGATTCGAACATGAGCTCCCCTTTCCCTTTGGCTCCTCTTCCCCCTCCCCCTCCTTCTTTCCACTGCTGTTCTGCAATTCACTTTTTAATCCACATATACATGCCTGCTTAGTTCCCTGGCACGGCAATTACATAGGTGAAAGGTTAACTTGTTTGGGTTTAATGAATCTCGAGCCGCAGGAAATATGTGTGAGTGGGAGCCTTTGCCGTTGCTATGGGAACATGTTTGTATTTTTGTAGAGCTACACCGGATAAATTCACACAATCTGCTTCTTAGTGTGGGATGCTAGTTGCTGCTGCTCCTTGAGAGGTTTATCATGGTCGTTGCTGACTGAATAATCTTAGCTACAAAGTGGGGAGCAGTTTCTTATGTGGATTTCCAAGTGAAGTTTTGATGTAATCCATTTGAGGCTCCCTGATATTTGTATGATCATAAGGTATGACTTGATACAATTGTGCATCACAGTGAATGATCTTGGTTTGCACACTGCTCAATGATAGCAAATTATGCAATTAATTATATAAGAGAAGAACGGAACCCTTGTTTCCAACTGAGTGGCAAATGATGTCTTCCAATCTGTAACTTTTCTTCTGTTTTTGATCTTTGGCATTTCTTGATGTTTAGTTTGGATCTTCTTAACCTGGAAGTTTTTGAGAAATTTTAACTAAGAAAAGTACAATATGTTTACAAAGACATTACTGCAAAAACAAAGCCAACACTAGCTATGGCTTGTAAGATGGCAGGTGGAAAAGCAAAAGAAATTTGAACATCTAATAAAAAGGTGACTAGTCTATACCAGAATGCATGAATTTTAGGACCTGAGGCCATGAGTTATGCACCCAGAAGTAAATCTAAAGGGTTGCTGGGGCCAGAACAATAACTAAATTTGATGTAATTTATGCTTACATTTAATTACACTTAATTTAATGAAATGCTGTTCTTATGATGACTCCCTCTGTATTTAACGTGCCCTATCATGTTGCACCTTTGGAGGGAGTCTGGAGGCTGCATTCAAAACTTTTGGGTAGATGTGCGCAGCCATGGGAACTTATGTTACTTACAATGCTATTCAGTGCTTAAGAAGAATGATAAACTGTAGTGCATGAAATATGGCGGGAAGTTATATTCTTATTTCTCAGTAATTAGAAAAGTGTTTTCCCCTCACTATGAGAGAATTCAGATTGATGAAACAGTGGCCATCCTCCCCCAGTGCAAACTCAAAGCTTGCTTTCTTGGAAAAACAGGATATGTCAAGCACTTCCTTTTTACATTGTTAACTGGACTTGTTCAGGAAAAAAACACATGGAGACTGCTGTGCATTGAGATAGAAGAGCAACTGCTTGCCTTTGCGGCTCTTGTTATGGGAAGGAACGCTGCTACGGATGTTATTTGAATGCTGGGGTCCAGTAACTTGGGAATCAGCCTCATTAAAGTGGGTGAGATGTGGCCTTCTTTTTTCTCTTTCAGTGGCCTGATTCACTAAGCCAAAAGAAGGATGATAATGTTTTAGGCCCAGTATATTTTGCAAACTTAGACTCTTTTGGCTTACAAAGTGTAGTTTGTGATTAGGTACAGTGTGTGAACCCAGCCAGGTGTGGATTATTTGACAAATTATGGTGCAGTAAACCATGGTTTAGCACAGGAATAGGCAACATTTAGGAGAACATTTAGAATTTCAAAAGCATGTGATTAGGGCACTCAAGGCCACTGTCCTAACACATGTAGTCCATCACAAAATTCCCACTTACCAGAAGAGCCAGTTTGGTGTTGTGGTTAAGGCACCAGGCTAGAAACTGGGAGACTGTGAGTGCTAGTCCCGCCTTAGCCATAAAGCCCACTGGGTGACCTTGGGCCAGCCACTCTCTCTTAGCCCTAGGAAGGAGGCAATGGCAAACCACTTCTGAAAAAAACCTTGCCAAGAAAACTGCAGGGACTGGTCCAGGCAGTCGCCAGGAGTCAGAGCTGACTTGAAGGCGCACATACACACAGAGGAGGCAAACTGACTCCCCAGGGTGATCAGGGCTGTGGAAAGATTAGACATTAAAATGAACAATGAACAATAATAGATAGATTAGATAGATAGATTAGATAGATAGAGCCATGCCTTAAAAAACCCTAAAACCTTTCTTGGAATGATAGGTTGAGACTTACAGGTGCTGCTTCTGAGTGGGGAAGGGCATCTGTGTGCCATGGAACAGTCTCCTGGAAATCAGATTGACCCCCCAGATTATTGGCTTTCCCTAAGCTTTTAAAAACTGAATTGTTGTGGAGATCTTATGGAGGAGGAAATTATCCCACTGGTTTTTTATTATTGCTTGATTTTGTTCTATTTTATAATTTTTAATTTTATACTATGGATTTTTTATTGTAAATTTATTGTATTGTTGATTTCATATGGCTATTGTTAACTGCTGAGAGTCTGAATAGTGGCAGGTATAAATCTAATAAAACAGTAAAAACCAACATAAATATTATATTATAGAACAAATAATTTTTCAGTTATACCGCAGTTAACTAATTGCATAATTAACATGGAATAATAGGCATGTGGGCACATGAAAAGAAAGCAGTTATCCACTTCTCCCCATAACTTCAAAATCAAATTCAAATAACAAAATGGATTACTCATTTCAGTGATAAAAATAATCCTTTTGCATCAGAATGAAAACATTCATTTCCTTTAAAATGCAAGAGAGGATAATCATGTTTTAATCTGATATCTAAAAAATAGATTCCTGTCAAATTCTCTTGTGAAAGGAAATCCATACCTTGGGTATGACTACTGGGGAGGAAAAAAAATACCCTTATTGTTGTCTACTCATTTTTTCGTAGCGGGTAACACTCTGAAACACCCCCCACCAAAACTGGCAGGGTGAGCTACTGTATATAAACAGGCAGCAAACCCCACAGTCATTAGCACCGATGATGTTACCTAGTTGGGTAATGAAATGTCTGCAAGCAAACAGCCAAGCTCAGAGAGCACCAAGGATTCCACAGTTTAACCCTGAGTTACAGATATTCTCTTCTATTGGATTTTAATTCCCTTGTCAATTGACATGGGCAGAGATTAGAGTGAATTGGAAATTTATTTTTTCCCCTCTAAGTGTGATATAATGACTATGGCAACTTGTTGCCTGAAGAAGCCTGCAGTTCATTTTCATCGACTGGATTTTCTGGTTTTGGTGGGGTTGCTTTCTTGTACTGGCAGTTACTGTACTAAGTGATGACAACAATTACTGTAGCAGGTTATGTCTGATTTTATATTAACCCTAAGGTAGGGATGTTGGTATCATGTATCCTCTAACAGTCACATTTTAAATTCAAAATAACACATTTTGTAATAAAATATTATTTGGACAGGAAAAAATAATGGTTGCCCTCTCATGTAGCTTCTCCTGGTGACTTAGATGGGCAAATCCATGCAGATTTCATGACATGATATGGAATGGCTTGCCATTGCTTTCTTCCAGGATGGCGTTCCCCCCCCCGCCCCCACTCTAGCAACGTTATACTACCGTATTGTGAATGCATCTTTTTTTTTCTGACTGTCATATATGCCCTCAGTATATTTACCACTTGTTTTCTGGTGAAGCCACTTCTATAGCATTTAAGTAATTTCAAAAGCTTTTTTTCTAAAATATTTTGGAAAAACTGAAAGAAGCTTGTGATGGAATGGGTAGAGAAGAGAGAACATGTCTTTGCCTAATTTATCTGTTTCTTCCCTCTTGCCCATCGTACGTAACTCTTTCTTCTTAGTAAATAGACACATATGTGAACATGCTGTTCACATTCTGGACTGGAACAGTTTCCAGGATAGTGTGACTTATATCCCGTTTAATCAATTCATGGCAAGAATCCTAAGCTTGTAGAAGAATTATCCATTTTGGCTTCTACCATTTCATGTTACTCTGATCTGACATTCCAGTGGAGTGTCTTTACACGTGGTTTATTCCATTAGAAGGCATGCATGGCATGTACATTGTTTCAAGACATCTGCTATCCATGGAATATGTTTGATAGATATACACACACAAATTCTATCCTTCATTGAAATGGGTTCTCTCTTGATTATGCATTAGTATAAAGTATATTTAAATGTTGCTGGAAATATTGGCAGGTTCCGTGCTTTTCAGTGTTGAC